ACAGAGCCTATCACAAATGCCTCTTCTACTACAACATGCTTCTCCATTCACCAAGACACTTCCTTGCACAAGAGTTTGCAGATGCAACAGTTGGAGACATTTCGACTTCAGCTTCCTTTTTCATTCAGCAAGAGTAGCAGATCCTTGGAACAATCACATGCATCAATTGTTTCTGGACACAGCTTCCTCATTAATACTTCAATCACCTCGAAAAACTTCATCAGAAAAATGAAACATTTGTTCACACACCCTTTTGGATTCACCCTTTTCTCCATTCACGAGTCTAGAACATCAACATCCAGAATATCTATATTGCTCAATTGTACCTTTAAATGGATAAGAGAGAAGACAATATGCATCTTCCTATATTTCTAGCAATTGGAAGATTGGCTATAGGCTGAGTTGAACTCTTGAGATGATTCTTCAGGATGAACCAGAAGAACCTGATAAGACTGGCTTAATCCTACAAGAGAGACTCCTTCAGAGCCAGTTCCTACCTTTACCTTTACACCAAGTCCAGCTTATCCTTAAGAACCAAAGCAAAACTCACAAATGTCAAGATGAGTGTCTTTAGACATTCTACATTGAATTTCCTCTTCATCATAGCCTGAGACACACACTCCCCTAGAGTAGGACACATATACTCTGCTCATGTTCTCCAAATCACACCTGTCATTCTCACACACTTGCCAACAAATTAATGACCTGAGAAATTCACCTGTTGAAGATGACATGGTCTTTATGCACAACAGCAGTCACATCCAGAATCAAACTATGGACAATGAACCATCCAAACATATTCTTTGAAAGCAAAAATCCAATATCAGCTGACCTTTCAGAGAACATAAAGTACCAGAAAAAATCTCCCGGAAGCTCACCTAAAAACAAACTAGGGTGCCAGCTCTGATGCCAATTGAAATTTTCTAGCACATGCAACACATGATGATAATTCTGATGTCTCAACATCAGAGTACAATGTCATGACAGATGTTGTGACATCTTGAGTCTGACAGCCACAATATTATCAAACTTTAATTATGCAAAAACTATAAATTGTATAATGATAAATATCACAGTCAATTGGTAACCCAGTTTGGTGCAACCTTACCTACATCTGAGGGCATCCAAGCCAGGAAGGAAATATACTATTAGTAAGATTAATTCAAAGCTAAACAACTCAGTTTACAACTTCTCACTTAATATTTACCTAGTGTTATTTCTACCTAAGAACTCCTAGATATGAGAAACTCATCTCACTTCCCACAATTACCTCGGTGATAGAACTAGTCACAAACCAGTGACAAGAATAAAATAAACAATAGAAGATCACACTTCCAAAATAATACTTGGTTTGCTTAAAAGCTTCACCCAAGAACAATACACTCTTTGCTTAAAAGCTTCGAGTGAACAATGAACAATATGTCCACCACAATGTATCAACTGATACAAAGGGTGACTTACAAAGTCACACACAAGAGACTCTCAAAACCTAAATCTATAGAACCTCCCCTTATTTTTACAAAAGTGAACGCCAGTTTTACATTAGGTTTAGATCTTCTTTAAATACTCCTCAGCAGTCCATGGGCTTTGAAATCTTCACCTGGATATTTCTTGATCCATATGCTAAGGGCTGCATAAATTGTGCAAAAAAGATCTCCTTAAATCTTGGAACAAACACAATGTTTTCTAATTTGTCTCATCATCCAAAATTAGCTCCTTGTGTACAGTTGAAGAGATAAAAACTTATTCCAGATAAAATCTTCTTGACCTGCGTAAATTACTGAGATATATTCAAAAGAGAATATCACATAATCAAATCAAATCTTGTCAAGATTCAAAACAGGAAGAACTAAAGTTATGTTACAACATCTGTCAGGACATCTGCTCACAAAGTGAACTGAACAACATGTTACAATATTACACACATCATCCTATTATGAACTATGTGTTAGCAAAATTGTTGTCAATTCTAAGACCATGGAACCTTCAGTTCCTTAGAATTTGATTGAATTTGTGGATTATGTTTGGCTTTGAAAAATGAGAAGATAAAATGGAAGGTTATTAAGAACAAAATTTGTCAACCTTACCTGACCCGTATTGAAAGGCTTCGACTCTTCCAACTTAATAATTTTTCCTATTGATGTCACAATCAAATTTCTTGTCGAGCATCACCTCCGATTAGCTTCCATCGGTAATCCTAAAAACTTGAACGAGATTAAAACATAATTAATTCTATTTAAATTATCTTAAAAATTTAATTGGTCTCACTTTAATAATATAATTCTTTCAAGGTCTCAGGTTCGAATCCTACCGGATGCAATCAATCCTTGTGTTGGGTCAGGACATACAGAGCTTTGCTCTGACTTTAAATGAACCCCCGCTAGTTGACGATGAGATTGATCCTTCTAAATTAATCGATCGCAAAACCGGATATAAAGATTTAAAAATAATAATATAATTCTTTCCTTAAAGAAAAAAACATTCACTTCAATTTGAATAAACGATTTTTCTTCTTCTTTTTGATAAACATTTGTATTAATAAAACACAAAGAATGCTAACCCAATAAAAAAGGAACCAAACAACAAAAGAAAACAAGAATCCCAACCAAACCAAAAACTACAACCCAATATACTCTCTGGGATTGAAATACCACACCTTCCTAACAAACTCAACACGACCTTAAGATAAAATACAAATACAATTCCAATCTAACAATAAACAACTAGTTACTCTGGTCATTTAACAATTTAAATATTTTTAAATAGTTCGTAAATAAAAAATTATAATTACGTATCTGAAGTTTGTAATTAGGTTTTTGAATAAATATTTTTGAATTAGAGTTAAACTTATAAATAATTTCTACTATAAACTTTTATAATGAAAAACAGATACAATTAAATCCAAGAATTGAGGATCTAACTACAATTATTTAAAAGTTGATATAACTAAATTTACATAAACTAAACTTGTGTTCAAAGAATAAACTAAAAAAATATTTAATCAAACATTTGTTAGCTGGTCAAATTCAGAGACTTAATAATGATTAAACCTTGAATAGGTATCACATTGATAGATGAGAAAAGGTAAAATTTCAAATCTACTTGTAAGTAAAAATCTTTGGGATCACCTTTCAATGAGTAACAACCAAAGGAATAAGAAACTTCACGACATAGGAATCCACAATTTCAGTTTAAATTCCATCTTTTCATGGTAGTACTACTAATAAAAAAATCATCAAGGTAATAATGATGATATAATCTACACCAAATTACGGTGGCGCGTGGGAGTGAGTGGCGCGTGGGAGTGAATGATGGATTGATAAATATTCCCATGCAATGCAAAAGCAAATAATAGTGGGGAAGGGTACAGACCGGACCAAGAAAAAGTCTCATTTGGTCGGGACACTAATTGGATTAAAGCACCAATACATAACTTTTTTATTTAATATTTTTTTATGTTTTTAAATGTTTTTTAATATATTATAAGATAATCATTTTTTACATCATTTTCTTTACCTTAAATTTATGATTGGGTGGTCCAATGCACGAGGTTCTCATCAACTATGAAGTTTGAGAATTATATAGTAGGAGGATTCATTATGGATATAATTTAATTTTAGACATCAAATATGTGTAGTTTCATGCATTTTTTCAGAGTATATTTCTCTATTATAATGAATGATGTATTTATTAAATTTATAAAATCAAATATTATTCTATATTAAATGGATATTTTCAATTTAACTGATTTTATTTGGATTATATAATCTAACCACTCCTTTCATTATTTCTTTTACATGTCACTATATGATGTTTTATAACTATTTTAATAATTTATTATTTCATTTCATAATTAATAAATAATAATATATTAGTAGAAGTAATAACAACAACAACAACAATAATAATAATAATAATAATAATAATAATTATTATTATTATTATTATTATTATTATTGCATTTATAATCTAAAAGGACAATTATTTAGAAATATATAAAAATATACAAATGTGAAATTTTATATGTTAGAAAAAAATGATATTTTTTATCCTAAATTCCGGTATGTGTTTTTATTTAAATAGAGTTGTTTATATTTTTCACATAACTGTAGAAACTATTATCTCAAATTTAGAACGGTTACAATAAACAACAAAGAAATTTAACGTTGTTGCATTCATATAATCTCGAATAATCTAAATTTAAATATTTTTTTATTTCAATCTGAATATGTATCTTCTACGCTACAAAGACTAGTCTCTCGAATTAAAAAAAAAATTACAATGAACAGTAAAGATATTTAATAGACTAGTCTCTCGAATCTAAAAAAATTACAATGATCAGTAAAGATATTTAATATTGTCTATAAAGCACAAATATCCTAAATACATTGATATTAATTTTAAGAATGAATAAATTAAACGAAATCACAAATATCATTACATATATTTGGCATTAAATCAGACACGAACACGTTGTTTTTCAGTGCTACTTTACTTTGAGTAAATTTGTGCTAGCTATTTCAATATATACTTTAGTTAAAAAAATATAATAAGATAACATTATAAACAAACATGTGACATATATTCTACCCATTCTAATAAATATATTTCCTATTTGCTAACAAACAAAGACTGGTCAGCACTGATCTCTCTTTGTCTTACAACAGTACTTAAAATAGTCTCTAGCAGTGAGCATAAAAAAAAAAGAAGCTTACCAGTTAAGAAACAGCACCTTCTCAAAACCCTAGAAAGCAACAAAATATAATAAAATAAACAACAAGAACAAAGAGTGAATAACCAACACACAAAAATTTATATATAAATACTCAAAACACCCCTCCTTTACTTTTGCTACACATTAATTTCCACCTTCAAATCTTCTCAACCTCTTCTTTCTTTCTTTCTATCTTCAACTCATCACAAACACTCTCTTATCTCTCTACTTTGTTGATGTGATTTGATTTTTCTTCATAAAAGAAAAAGCTTCAAAGAGAGAAACCATGGTTTTTACTTCCATACCAGCAGCTTATCTTGATGCAGCCAACTGGCAGCAGCAGCAACAGGTAAATATATATCAATAAGGGTTTGAATTCAATTTGGTTCTTCATTTTGTTTCTTTGTGCAAAAGGAAAAATAATTCAAAAGATGAAAAGCAAAAAAAATAAAAATATTCTTGTTACTTTAATTTTATACCTTTTCTTGAATATACCAAATATTTGATTTCTATAGTTATTAATCAATCACCTTTCTTGTTTTATCCTCAATTCATATATTTTTCTTCTAATTCTCTTCCTTTTGTGTATGTTTGTTATTATAGAATCATCATCATCACAATCAACCAGAAAACGGCGGTTCCGGTTCCGGTTCCATCTCTCAACAACTACTTCAGACACCACTGTCGCAACCACCACAAACACAGCCTCATCCTCATGGAGCTGGTAGCACCGGCTCAATTAGGCCGGGATCGATGTCTGACAAAGCAAGAATGGCGAACATGCCTATGCCAGAAACCGCGCTGAAATGTCCGCGCTGCGAATCAACCAACACGAAGTTTTGCTACTTCAACAACTACAGCCTCTCTCAGCCACGACACTTCTGCAAGACTTGCAGAAGGTACTGGACGAGAGGGGGCGCGCTAAGAAACGTCCCGGTTGGGGGAGGCTTCCGGAGAAACAAAAGAAGTAAAGGAAGCAACTCAGCGAAATCTCCAGCGAGCTCCGATCTTCAAACCGGTAGTGCTAGTTCAACAAACTCAATCACCTCTCATAACAATCACTCTTCCGCCTCCGCCGATATATTAGGCCTTACACCTCAAATGTCATCATTGAGATTCATGACACCATTACACCATAACTTCAATAACCCTAACGAATTCGGAGGCAGCGATTTAGGGTTAAACTATGGATTTAGCTACATGGGAGGAGGAGGAGGAGGTGGTGATCTAGGAAGTTCTTTACTTGGTGGAAATGGTAACTCAATTCTATCTTCAACAAATGGTTTGGAACAATGGAAGATGCCTATGCCTATGCCGATGCCTATGTCTATGACTCATCAACAACAACAATTTCCATTTCTAACCAACTTGGAAACTTCAAATGGAAATTTATACCCTTTTGAAGGAAATGTTCAAAACCATGAGATGATGATATCTAACAATGGATACATGAGGCCAAAGGTAACTTCAACTTCTGGAATTATGACTCAACTAGCTTCTGTGAAAATGGAAGATAGTATTAATAGAGGCTTTTTGGGAATCAGCAGCAACAATAACAATAACAATAATCATCAAGGAAGTGAACAATATTGGAATAGTGCTGTTATCATTGGTAATTCCGCAGCTAATTGGAATGATCATGTTTCTGGTTTTAGCTCTTCTTCTAATACTACTAGTAATAACCAGATGTAGAATTTTGTATTATTATGTGTGAAGTGAAGCTTCTTGTTTTGGTTAGTGTGGCTTCAATTTTAGTAACTTAAAGAGAAAAATTATCTTCTTTAGATCAAGTGAAAACCCTAGGGATTTAGGTTTTCTTTGTATTTTTTTTTGGTTATTTTGATTTGTTTTTAGTTTTTATATATGTTAACTTTAATAGGTTTTAGTTTTGCTTTGTATGAGAAGGTTGAATATATTTATATAGTAACATTATGAGTTCAAAGGAATGAATATTATCAATATTTTGGGTTGAAAAGTTTTGTTTTGATTTAATTTGGTTGTATATTTCACATATTGAATTGTAGAGCTATGATCATAAATATCATCACCTCAAGATTTTTTTTTTTTTTACAATTATAATATATGGATATTATATTTTAGCGGAGTTTTTTAAACTAGTTTTTATCTATAGATAAAATGATAATGGTTACTAAAAACTCACGCAAGTAGTTATACACTTATAATAACGTTTAACGTTAAAAATATCAGTTGAGATAGGATTTACGTATGCTATATAAATTAGTTTTAGTTAGAGTTTTAAATTATTACGTGTTTATTGTGGGTGTAATATGAGATAATATATATATATTTTTTATTTTACTGCAATATTAAACCATAAACTTTTATTAATAACTAGTTATAGAGTTTAAATTATAGTCAAAGTAAGCTTTGACTAAGAGTTACAAGAACTTCTGCTAGGAAAAAGAGTAAAGTTATGGAAAAAAGCTTTAGTAAAATACGGTTGTCTTTCTATCACTGTATAAATTGTAGATCTATATAGAAAATTATAAATACATCTATCTGGAAAGTGAGAATTTGTTCTGTTAAAAATTAAATAGTTTTTTTTTTTTCCTTTTGTTAAGTTTGTATTTTCTGGACATGTGCCTTTTATGAAATTAAAACAATAGATGTAGGACCTTTAATTATATTTCAACTCTAAAAATGTTTGCCTTTATATTCAAAATTGTTATTAAATAATGGTGAGTTGTTATGCTTTAAAAGCTATATAGATGATGGGATGGAAAACCAATAAGCATCCAGCTGATTAAGGCTCCATTTGAACAAACTTTATAAGATTTATAACATGTGTAAGGCTTCCCGCATGGTGCATTCTAATATCAAAGTTAGTAATGTTAGAGAGGAGGAAGTTGTAATGTTAGGGAGGAGGAAGTTGTAAGTGTGTAATGTGATGTTGTTCAATGTGATGTGAAATTATATGTATATAAAAATGACAGTTAGATTTGTCTCGAGTAAATAAGGTGTTCTGTGTTGGGACCATCGGATGAATCTTAACAATTGAGACGAGAGTGGTGTCTAGTTTAAGTGTCGGGTTCCTTAACGAAAATATGTTTGTTCATCAGTTTGAGTGGTTGAAGCTTTGGATTGAGCTGTAGCATCGGCCAGTTTGATTGTTTCGTTTGGCAAGTCTGGAATAGTTACCTTCAAGTCTTTGCTATCGAACACGAAGCTAAGATTGTTGTTGTGGGATTTTAGAGGTCGGCTGAAGGGAGTTTTGTTCTGACTAGTAGTGACTGTTGGAAGATTTCCTCAAGAAAGAGATAGATCGGTGATCAGTTGAGTGGGAGTTAGTGGTGTTGGAAACATGTACATTAAATGTTTGTCCCGTCAAATGAAATGTTACTCTAAGGAGGATTTCCACGTGGACTTATATGTCTAGGGTAAGGAGGCGACACCCTTAGAGTACTTGGGTGTACTTGAGTGCTATTATGGAATCGAGGCCGAATCAGGGTCGTTAATCATGCCTTTAGATATTTCCTTAATACTTGGTCAAAGATCCTGATGCCAATGGTTGCATATATATATATATATATATATATATATATATATATATATATATATATATATATATATATATATATATATATATATATATATATATATATATATATATATATATATATATATATATATATATATATATATATATATATATATATATTAAGGGCATAAATTCAATTTCTCTTTTCGTTTTCTTTGCTTTAGAGTGTTAATCTCTTCTCTTTCCTTGCCATTCTCGAAATCTTGTAACCTTTTGTTTTTTACGATTCTCCCTCTCTCTCTCTCTCTCTCTCTCTCTCTCTCTCTCTCTCTCTCTCTCTCTCTCTCTCTCTCTCTCTCTCTCTCTCTCTCTCTCTCTATTACGAAGTACTTTTTGATACCTTAATGATTCTACATATTCATTATTCTAAATGTGCAAACATTTCAAGGTATAAATCTCTTTGTTTTATCATTTTAGTTGTTTTGCATTCGCTTTTTAAGTATGGGTGATAAGGAAACTATGATATCCCAATCATAATTTGGCGAGTGATGATGAAACTAGTGATGTGTCCTCTCGAATTGGGGAAAAGTGATAAATCTGGTAGGTTTAGAAGTTTCGTTCGATAAGGTTAGGAATCAGGAAGTGAATTTTTTAGAAACTAGGGGGCATCGTAGCAGTGAATTTCGTCTGATGAGGTTAACATCACACAAGAACCTTGAGTCTTCTTGGTGAGGCTTGAGGTATATTTATGTCGATTACCATTATCTGAAAACTTGAAATGTCAAACCACCGGTGATCCTTGAAATATAAGTCTTCACTTGAAAGTCGTTGGACTACAGTGTTGACTTGATCTTTAAGAATATCTTTAAGATCATAGCTTGATTTAGAAGGATAACTTCATCAACCATCTTGTGTGTGTTTATCCATTTAATTATCTTTAGAAGTTGCTTGACTTCAAGTGTTGTCATCATCAAAACTAAGCAGCTACTAGTTGATATGCAGCTTTGTTATCCATAAGTTTCACCATCTTGGATCACTTCTTGACTATAACTGCAATCACATAGACCCATAAAGTCCACACTTATGTATGTCCTTATTCTTTTTATGGTTGTTACGCTCTAAAGCCAACAAACGATTATGTAGTTTATATGCAGAATGTGTTCTTCCTTCACACGAGTGAGGGGTTAATAACCATATAAGAATTTCCTCATTTCAGCTACACCCTATAAGTTGGGCCTATGTTAAATTTTTCAATATTTGGGTGAATACAAAAATAATGTCCTCCGCACTTTGATGCTTTTCTTCCATATTTTCAATACTCAACAAACTTCGGCCAAGTTAGACAGTGTCGAGGGTTGCTCTCATTTAGGAAAATAAATAAGATGTTTAAACTTTGTATAAATAGTCTCAATAATTTCAAACATATGTACTACCTAGTCACACCTCTATGTCAAACTTCTCATAATAGTATTTGTTAAATTCAGCTCTGTCCTCGACATTCCATTCCAACCTTCTTCAAGATGTAATGACAAAATCCAAAAATTTGGCGAGAAAAATAATTTTTATTAGGATATTAGGCATACATATTATTGGGAGAAAAAAGAGGAAAACAATCACAATACAAGAACATAACGTGGAAACTCCAAAACCGAAGAAAAAACCACGGTCGTTATTAATAGTCAACCAAAGAATAATAGTATGTGAAAATTGTACAACACATAATATTTTTGTCTTGCAATCCAACCCAAATAATGAGGCTTACGACTTTAGAGCGATTACATATTAGTTATGTTTAGGGTAAAATCTAATTAACAAGTGCTTTTATAGTAAAATATGACAATCTAATCCTTTGTTTATTAAATATAACCGAAGGAATAGATCATTAATTTAAAAATAAAAAATAAAAGAAAAAGAAAGACACAACTTTTAAAGAAATAAAAATATAAATGATTGTTGTTGGGATTTGAAGCATTCCGTGAATTATTTTTCCTTATTTAAAAATAAATGATTTAAGGGGGTTTCAGTTTGATTAAGAAAACAACGAAAATAATTAATTATCAAATAAGCTAAAACGAATCAACCTATTGTTAGGTTTCCTAACCTATCATCGGTAATTATAATTCCAAAATCCTAAGAGGATTCCAATCCCTTTTCAATTACAATATCAATCAACAAGCACAATTGATACTACAAGAAATATATTCCTAATTTTCAAATTAAGCAGACAGACGAGTTATAACTGTTAGGAAAAAACGAGCATAGAGAAAAAAGAGGAATACAATAACAACACAAGAGATTAACATGGAAACTTCAAAATCGGAGAAAAAATCATGATCGTTGTCAAATGACAACCAGAGAATAATACTATGTGAAAATTGTTACAACACAAAAATTACCCTCAACCACCCCAAGGATACAATACTCCTACACTCTCCAAAGCAAATATTTAACTATCCCTCACAACACTCTCAAACCAAGAGTATAAGAGAAAATATAAAAAAAGAAATCAAATACAAACTTAAAGTACTTTTGATTGGTGTATCTTGGAATGAAGAACTTGAATCCTATATATAGAATTAGACTCTCACTTCCTTCACAAAACTAAGTGATGTGGGACTTCAAATAACTTATATCATATATATATATAGCCTTGGACTCTCTCTTCATTCACAAAACTAAGCAATGTGAGACTTCTTTAACATGTATATTTTCAACCAACCCCAACAATCTCCACCTTGATTAAAAATAATACACAAGCTTTCATTGTCTTCACCGACAATCACACTCCATCATAAAGAGTATAGTCACTTGAAACTACACCACTCCAAGAATTTCACATTGTCTTCACCAACAATCGTAGTTTTCAAAGACTATCATACTCCACCTAAAGAAGAGTGTACATCACTTGAAGATAAACCACTTCCCATGTCGAAAACCAGGTTGAAAATTTATGGTGCGACTTCCTTGTTGGCAGGAAGCTCTTCAACCATCGACATAATCTCACAAAACGCTTTGCATTAATGCCCATGTGTTAATCCACTATCAATAACTCATCCTTTTCCATGACAGAGGAAATTTCATGAGCACACACTTCTCAATTTTTAGAGAAGATCATCATCTCTCACAGCGAGAGAGACTTTGCTAGCATTTGACTCAAAGCCCTTCTCTGACGCAGCCCCATTAGGACAATTAT